AACCTAATGCAATTTAACCGTACAAACATGTAAATTTTGCAGAATACGGATCCTTACCATCCTGGTGTAGTTTTGTAATTCCGAGCTAGTCTATTATGTTGCTATGACGTAAAACTGTACGCTGGAATTTGAACTTGTTAACCAGTAATTCCTACCAAAACTATATCATGCATATATTCCGTACCTTCTTTAATGCTTCCGTTACGTCACTGATAGTTCGCAGTGGTTTTTTTAGTTTAAAATTAATCAGGATAAATTAACAAAATCTTTGTTGTGTGTACTTGCAGAGCTGTCTAAAATAAATTGCATATTTTATTTGTTCAAAAATAGATTATTTTTATAATAATTGGTATGGGTATCTACCATCATGTAAGTATGTATGAACTATTACAGTGGAAATTTTCAGCGGTATTGAAGAAATTCCATAATGTCTGAGTGAATTTCAAGTTTGTTATTTGGTCCTTAATAGGTAATTAAGTTTCATGATCCCAGCCGGTGAACTGGAATGGGAAACTACAGATAGCTTTATTTCGCATACCACAAAATATAAAATATAAAATATTCGCAGATGCGAATACCATAAAATATGAGATTTTTGATATACCCGGTATATGGGTATAATGCATTGATTGCTTAGTTTATGGTTTTTTTTTTTAGAACGACCTTAATTGATGCATGGGAAAATGCATCAGAAATGTTGAAAATTAAAATATTAACCAAAATTTCAATTTTGAACGGATTTTCAAAATTTCAAAAGTTTTGGAAACCTTGGGTCAAGGTCACCAGTATATAATTTCACTTTTTTGAAATTTGACCTGGGTGACCTTTAATTTAGGTCACAAGATCAACCACTAAGTAAATTTCATAAATTTTTAAAATAAGCGAATTATTTCGAAAATTCAAAATTTTGAAACATTTTCACATCAACCAAGTGCCCTAGGTTGAACAGAATTGTCAAAGGGTCACAGACCCCTTGGGGGAGGCAGGGGGTGTGGTTTTCAGCGACTATCGGAATATTTACGAAAAGTATGGCATGCGATACCAATTATTACTCGGGAGGGTAAGGCCAACAAAACAGTCATCTCTAATTTTGAAAAACCACACCCCCAGGTGGGTGTGGCTTTCAGCGCTTTCGTTGTTATGATAGTAAACCATGTGGTGTGATACAAATTATTTCTCGGGACAGATAGGCCGTCACGTTGGTTATTTTGATTTTGGAAAACCGCACCCCCCGGTGGGTGTGGTCATCAGCGCTTTGGGGATTATTCTAATCAACCATAGCATGCGACACAAATAATTTATCGGCTAGGGAAGGCAATTCTGATGGTCATTTCCAATTTTGAAAAACCACACCCCCCGGTGGGTGTGGTTTTCAGCGCTTTGGAAATTATTTCAGTAAACATGGCATGCGATACAAATTATTTCTCCGGAGAGAAAGGTGATCAGGATGGGCATCTCCAATTTTCAAAAGCTACCACACCCCCAGCAGTGGGTGTGGTTTTCCCCCGATTTCGTCATTGTGAAACCAAACCACGATGTGTGATACTAATTATTTTTCATGAGACAAAAATAATTCCGAGGATGACCTCGAACGACCAAAAACTACACCTTCAGGTGGCACACTGGTACGGATTAATTAATTTTCTTTCTAAAACCCGTATTTCTAAAACAATTTGAATTTTCCACATTCTGTTTCCAAAAATATTCACAGGAGACAAAATGCTAGTATATGTGCTTCAATTACAGATCTTGACCATACCCCTCAAGGTGTGTGGTCATTGATAAAATTTATTTTATCGCATTCCCTGTTAAAACTGGTGTGGTTCGAGAGCTCAGACGAAGTTACATAACTTCTCCAAAGATTATAACCGTGGAGCCACTACCATTGACAAGGCGTGCGCTGAAAATTCAAAATATTTATGACGACAAACCATATCAAGTGGGGTGGGCCTGCATAGGTCTCATGAAGGGCTACATTATTGCTCAAAGGACCATACAGATATCTCCACTCTATAAGACAAGGGAGTTGGGGAATGACAAATAATTAATTTGAAAATTTCCACTTGTAATGAATTATGTCTCATTACCAAAAATTCAAAGATATTCATACGAAATTTTCACCAGTTATTCTAGATGGAGTTCTAGATCATATGGAATTTTTTTGGAATTTTTGTTAATGCCAATTTAAAATTACGAGCTATCATTCACCCGTTAATAATAATCAGGATTCACATTTTCACATTCGTACTTCTCCTAGAGTATTGGGTTCGGGCAGCTAGGGGCAGCAAATTTGATAACTGACATATGGAGGATTAAAAATATGTACAAGGTTCCTTGGAGTGACACGTGATTTGACAGTATTTCCAACTTGAAGTTTTTTGTATATGACGTAATGATAAAACAAAAGTTTAAGCCTTCATAACTTTTTTCCCATGCGAGCAATTCTGCTGAAACTTTCCACATTTCTTCATCTATGTTGGAGCTACTAATAATAGAACCTGGTTTTGGAATTGATGTGAATAGGTTTTGGCCAAGAATTTCACGCAACCGTACCAAGGGTGTATGCGCTTCCGTTTAGATTCATGGTAATATGCTTAAAATATTTTACCTACAAATATATGCCAAAATTAAAACCGCATATTTTCAAAAATTTTAATTTTGGCCGTGTTGGGTTTAAATCTAGGTCGTTGGTTCACCTGGGAGAAAATTTGGATTTTGATATCAAACTTTCTTTAGTAGTTTTTGGTCGTTCGAGGTCATCCTCGGAATTATTTTTGTCTAAAATAATTAGTATCACACATCGTGGTTTGGTTTCACAATGACGAAATCGGGGGAAACCCACACCCACTGCTGGGGGTGTGGTAGCTTTTGAAAATTGGAGATGCCCATCCCGATCACCTTTCTCTCCGGAGAAATAATTTGTATCGCATGCCATGTTTACTGAAATAATCCCCAAAGCGCTGATGACCACACCCACCGGGGGGTGCGGTTTTCCAAAATCAAAATAACCAACGTGACGGCCTATCTGTCCCGAGAAATAATTTGTATCACACCACATGGTTTACTATCATAACAACGAAAGCGCTGAAAGCCACACCCACCTGGGGGTGTGGTTTTTCAAAATTAGAGATGACTGTTTTGTTGGCCTTACCCTCCCGAGTAATAATTGGTATCGCATGCCATACTTTTCGTAAATATTCCGATAGTCGCTGAAAACCACACCCCCTGCCTCCCCCAAGGGGTCTGTGACCCTTTGACAATTCTGTTCAATCTAGGGCACTTGGTTGATGTGAAAATGTTTCAAAATTTTGAATTTTCGAAATAATTCGCTTATTTTAAAAATTTATGAAATTTACTTAGTGGTTGATCTTGTGACCTAAATTAAAGGTCACCCAGGTCAAATTTCAAAAAAGTGAAATTATATACTGGTGACCTTGACCCAAGGTTTCCAAAACTTTTGAAATTTTGAAAATCCGTTCAAAATTGAAATTTTGGTTAATATTTTAATTTTCAACATTTCTGATGCATTTTCCCATGCATCAATTAAGGTCGTTCTAAAAAAAACAAACCATAGTTGCCTCATTAAATAGGTAACATGGTTATTTCACTTGAGCCATATCGAGCCTGTATGAGTTGTCCGGTTGAACCACTTGGTCGCTGATTTCTGTTAATTTTTGTGTCAAACTTAAACTATTAGAAAATGAAATTTCTTCTGGGGTATATAACATATTCCATAATCTGCAAACTACTGACACGTCGCTGCATTCTAGTCTTGAAACTTTTAATTGTCCTGCCTCTTCTTTAGCTAAAGGGACGTTTCTAGTAGCGCATTTATGACGTATTTGAATAGATAATCTTGTGTGAGGTTCCTATTGACATACCGGGCCGCAAGAAGCTCGTCCTTGCAAATTGTACTAATAAGGAAAGGAATTATGTATATAGTAACATTATCGGCGGGATTGTTTCGAACTAAAATGTCTATTCAAATTTGAGGGGGCCAAATGTTATAGAAATTGGCGACGGTTGAATCACTTATTGAACAAAATCACTGCTGCAGGTATTAGCAAATTTGATTTTTAAGTACGAACAGTATGCATAGCCAAAGTTTGAAACCTTTACCTACTCTAAAAAGGACACTATATAGGTCCATATTATATTTTTCGCATGGTATTGAGGCAAATCTAATATCATTCCGCAAATACTTATATTAAGGAGTAAATGCAATTCATTTGCGGATTATTTAAGATAATATTTTTATTAACTTGATTAAGTTTTTGAGAAATGTTCTGGCAACTGTAATTTAAAATGTGTAATTTAATCTATTTACAGTGCAGTTTTAGGTCATACTTAGCTGATTTCTGTAACTATTTCTCGAGTAAATTTTGTAACTGTTTGAGATTTCGTACACAAATTTTATTATTTTTTAGTAATATTCATTCATAATTAAAAACTAATAAAATTGGGTAAATGTTACTTATATATTTATTTATTTATATGTATTCCTTACACGTTACGATGTTTGTGCAAATTAAAATATCTATTTAATACCAATGACAACTAAATTCATAGTACAAATATAGTATACCAATTATTCATTCTTTCCTGTACTATAAAATATTAACTGGAATAAATAAAAATGTATATTTATTCGAAGTATTTACGTACATATTCTCATAAAAATTTGTACATAAATGAAGCAGTTATTCAGCACCTACTTATTTTTATAACAGGCTTAGCATCCATTTCCTGACAGAATAAGCACGTAAGCTAAAATTTGCATAAATGTCTACCAACAACATGGCCAGATCCCGGAACAAAGACACCAACTCCAGCAACCTAGCGGCAATTTGTGACAATACTTCCAAAATGCAGGAGAGACGGATGTAGTTTAAGCAGATCGCACCACTGTTGATTGATCACCACCAGACACATCACAAACAATCTCTTTTTCTTGCCATTGAACAACGTATCTGCCATCTTGCAAGATTTTACTTTTTTCTCATCAGAAGCATGCCGTCTCTCCTTGTGTACATATTTCTTACTCATTCCGTCCTACACTCTCAAATTTTAAACTTGTTAAATTCAGGCACTTCAGCTTAAAAGTTTAAAATTTTAAAGTATGTAAATATTTTCAATTTTTTACTGAAATCAACAAACGGTAACCGGATATTGTCATCGAGTAGAAAGTGAAATTGAGAATTTAAATATATAAATATATAGGGAAGTTGTTATATTTAAAGAGTTGTCAGGCCATTGATCCGCCCATATATAAATCTGCGACCACACCAATAATCTACAGTCTATTCGGAGCAGATTTACCCAATTTCGCTGCATCTGCATTAAGGTCACTATAAAAAATTTTGAGTTGAGGTATAAATAATAAATTAAATACTGTATAACAATACAATAATCTCAAATTGAATTAGAGAAAATTTATGTAGATTTTGAAACATCGTTTTATGTTGCTTCTGTAAAAAATAATTCAGGTCAATATTTTGTCGTTTCTCGAAGCAAAAAGCTGTAATGAGTGAGGTGAAACAACCTGAGAACGGGATGTTTCCTAACTGGACTTCTCCAGGAATGCTGGAACCAATTTGGGACTGGAGAGAAAGTCATGATGCTCGGATATCGAATTTACTCGAGACTGGGTTTCAAAGCGATTTAACCCTTTATCTCGGATCGGATGGAGTAAAAGTTTGTTCTGATTAATGAGTTTGTTAATAAACTCGGAATATTTAATTTTTTGTATGTATATAAATAGGTTCCCGTACACAGAATATTTCTCCAGGCCGGCTCTCCAACTCTAAATTTCAAGATCAAGGTTTCGATGGAGGACCTGGTCATAGAAGATGTGGATAGTCGTGTCTTCAAGATATTGCTGAAGGTTTAAAAAATAGAATTGTGGGATTGACATTGCTAATATTTTTGCCTTCAAATTTAGTATTTGTACACTGGGAAATGTAACGTGGAAATGGGGGATGCTCTCCAACTAATGCTACTCGCGAAGGAATATGAAATAAATGGTTTAAGGGACCACTGCGCTGCAGTCTTAAAGGGAGACTTGACCTGTGAAAATGTACTAGGACTTTTTCAAAGTGGGATGGAATACGGTCATGGTGATCTTATCCAATCATCACTTAAATTCATATGCAGGTAAGATTATCCATTTCCAATTTAAATCCGGTCAAGATTATGAGCCATAAATTATAACATATGTACATATAATTTTTTGGTGGGTTTTATTGAGCAAATTTAATTAGAAATAGAGTTCTGATTTTGCGGAAAACCTTACAAAAATTTAAATCTCTGGTTTATACCATCTAATTTTCAAACTTAGCTCTCTATTTTTAAATTTGGCTCTAATCAAATTGTTACTTAATTTTTTATATTGGTAATCTTCTATTTATAGGAATGCGAGTAAAATTTTGAGACGTGACGAATTTTCCAAAATGCGATTGGAATGTTTGATCGAAATAATTCAGCAGGACTCCCTCCGGGTTATTAGCGAGATGGAAGTGTTTGAAACGATAAATCGGTTAAAAAATCCTTTGCTAAATAAGAACTGAATGATTATTTTACTTATAAATTCTTTGTAATTAGCTGGGGCGTAGCAGAATGCGGACGACAATCTTTGGATCCAGAAAATACCGAAAATTTACGAAAATGCTTGGCCAAACCGCTGAATTACATCCGATTTCCGTTAATGGATCCGGAGGAATTCGCCTTACACGTGACATCCAAAAAACTCCTCAACACGGACGAGTCGATGGAGCTGCTGACCTGTTTCCTTGTGAAACCAGATCGTAGGTAATTAGAAAAATAAGAACCTTTTTTTTACTGTTGATCGTCATCATAAGCATGCTAACAGGCTTATTTAAATTACATTCTCTATTTCCAGAAATTTGCTTCCACATGCAAAATTTATATCACGTCCACGCACTTACATTTGTAAGGACATCTGTCTAAAAAGGACCATTACAGGTGGAACGAGAATAATTCAGAACGTTATCGTTGGCGGAAATGCAAACGGCGAAGAAACAATTATGTAAGAAAATCCGTTTGAGAGACAAAGCTTTTCCGTATTATTAATTTGTTGTATTAATATATTTCAGGGTTCGGGTTAAAGAAAATGCCGTATTGAAGTCAATTTCAGTATGCAAGGACATCTTTAACGTACATGGTAGTAACTACGTCGCCCTGTATGATCTAATTCAGGCCACGATCACAATGTCTGATGCATTTCTAAATGTCCGAACCCTTATGGTACAAACGGACGCTGTAAATAACGATGAATACTTACGAATCGACATCACTCCCCCTTTGCAACTTAACGTAAACGACGGTTGGGTGAAGGTCACGATTAGGTTTTCCGGCGTGATCGGATATCGCCATTTCAATGAAAGCATGGCCAGCAGAGTAAATGTGAACCTTACGCAAAGTATATTTCCCGCTAACGGATATAACAGAGTGGTTGCAAATTATGAGGATTGTTTTAAGTTAAGTATGGTAAACAGTGTGGATTTTGTCGATATTAAAAGAGCAGATTGGGATAATCTTTGGGAAAAGTTTGGATTGATTGAAAAGCTGGTATTTGAGTTAGTTTGATACATACGGTTTGTAGTGATCTTGATTTTGTTGGGTTTGTTTCTATAATTTAGTAATCCAACATCAAATAAAAACTGAATTTTTAGTATGTAAAAATTATTAATTTCTTTGTACTAAGAATGGTAATTCACTCAACTATAGAATACTAATCATTAAATTTTATTGCATATTATTGATTTAAATTTATTTATATACATATCCTCAGCAAAATTTGTACTAAATAAAAAAAGCAAAGGAATACAGAAACCTATGTACGTATTTATTTACATATGCATTTTTCTAAGGCGAGACAAAAAAGTAACCATGTGCCTATTTACCAAAAAAAAAGTGCATGGTTACGGCGAAGCCTATAGTATGCAGTTCAGTCCGCACCCCCAAACTTTAGCCTCAGATTGCGAGAAAACTATGCATCGTAGAGAAAAAACACAAGACACAAAAAAGTTAGGAAATTATGCGAGGTAGTGCGGGTTTAGCTAAGCGGTCCAAAATTTGCACCCTATCGTACCCCTCCAGGCGTCAAAACTGACTTTTTTTTCAGGATCTCGGAATTTTGCGATGTAGCTAAAAATTCGGCGTTACTCAAATGAAAGGTCTTTAATAAAAGTTATGTCGAATGCACTTTGTTTGATTAAAATCGGTTGAAAAATGAAAAAGTTTTAACGGTGGGTACTTTATTCTTGGTGTGGTATGGTTGCTACCATGCATTTTCATGAAAATTTTTTTAGTTCGTTTCTGCATTTATCTCTGATAGCAACCAATAATAAATTTTGAAATTGAATTATAATCAAAGAATCAAGAATTTTGAGATAACTTTGGTTAGATTTTTTGCATATGTGGACGGATTAAAGCAGGAGATAAATCTGGAAAACAATATAGGGTGACGGGTGGGCGTAATATTGGCTTATAGTAATGAAGTTAATTTGAAAATAATACATAGGAGGAAGCTCACATTTACACAAAGTTCCCCAAACACTAAAGAAAAATTGTGTGTATTAATGTAAAAAAATTAGCCCAACTGGACGACACATCCCATTTTATAGAAGTTGTTCTTCATTAAATTTCTTACACTTGAAACCGTTACTTATATAATACATAATTTTCCCACTTAAAAACAGAAAATAAATTACATTACAAAAAAGAAACCTAAGGCGTGACTGAAAACGGGAAACAAGCCCCCCACCCCCTCTCCTGATACCCTAAGCAACCCGTACTCCACCCACACAGCTACACCCTGTCTTGCCGGGCCAAGTGTAGTTTTCAATTTACGTAATCTTCCTTTAAAATAAAATTTACTTTGTACAAATTCCATATTTTCGTTGCATGATAGAAAGGGATGAAGCTTATCATCGGGATAAAAAAAATGTTTAACTAAGCTAATTTCTTTTAGAATTAGTTTTGAACTGGATCGATGCGTTGTGTTTGCCAAATCTCGTCAAAATTGGACAAGCGTTCTGATGTTGCGAAGGACATACCCATGTACATATGTTCTCATTTTGATTAAAAAATTCGACACAGCACTTGGCCCGGGCAAGACAGGGTGTAGCTGTGTGGGCGGAGTACGGGTATCAGGTTGCGGGTATCAGGAGAGGGGGTGGGCTTGTTTCCCGTCTTCAGTCACGCCTTAGGTTTCTTTTTTGTAATGTAATTTATTAAGGAATAGTTATGGTTTCTGTATGCATTTGATAACAGAAAAAATAAGTATGTATTTACCTAATTACATATTTGCATATACATCAAGCAGCAATATACATAGTGAACAAAGGCAGCCACTCGAGTAACCTTGCGGCATTTCGTGGCAACATTTCCACACGAAGAACCCATTGAGCAGCAAAGTGAAGGCAGGGCGTGGCCTTGTTGATTTGTCACCAGTAAAGCAGGGCAAAGAAAAATACTTTCCTTTGAAAAAGGACTCCATTCTGCCATCTGGCATTATTTATTTTTCTTAACAATACACTCACCATGCCTTTTCTCCGTCTTCTTCATTCAGTGGAACTCCCTGAAACTCAGTACATATTAAATTTACGTGCTCAAATATTTCCGTATTTAAAATTTAAAATAAATATTTTCATTATTTAATACTTAACAAATATCACAAGTAGTATCCGTGTACACTGGTATAAGTGTCCCAATAAAGAAGAAATTGAAAGTTAGACCGGACATTTAGGGAAGGAACTACAGTAGTCAGACCTTTCAAACTCCGATAAGTACACTTGCGAGAACACCACACCTCTAAGGTAATCCCCAGACACCAACCAAACTCATGTAATCCTGGTATTTATTTAACTTAAACTAATTATAAAGCTGGAGAATAATACGTACTTAGCAATACAACTGTCTTAATTACATTTTAGATAATTTGTATAAAGAGCTTCATTATTCCGAAAATTTGTTTCTGCAATTTATAATTCTGTCTAATGTTGTTTGTTTTCAGTATTATTATTATATCACTATTTATTATTTTTATTTTAATTGATTTTATTTAATATTTACCATAAAAATTTTAATTGATACTTATTTAAATTTGTCGAGAAGCTAAAATGAGTGACAAGATGAAGATAGCTGACCACGGAAAATTTTCTAAAAACGGGCGCGATACTTCTCCACGGTTGGTAGAATCAGCATGGGACTGGAGAGTCAGCCATGATGATCGGATATTAAATTTACTTGAGACTGGATTTCAAAGCGATTTAACCCTTCACCTAGGAGCGGAAGGAGTGAAGGTTAATTCTAATTAATGAGATTATTTGTCAACTCTTAAATTAATTACAATTATGTAATCATATTTAAAATTTGCATACACAGGTACCAGTCCACAGAATATTTTTCCAGGCCAGTTCTCCTGTGCTGAATGGCAAGCTCAAGGCTTCAGTAGAGGACCTGGTCATTGCGAATGTGGACAGCCGTATCTTCAAAATATTGCTGAAGGTATAACTAGTGAGGGAAGAATCGGTACTGATTTATTTAATTCTGATCATTTAAATTTAGTATTTGTACACGGGGACATCTGACGTGGGGATGGGCGATGCTCTACAATTAATGCAACTGGCGACGGAATTTGAGATCAATGGGTTGAGGGACGATTGCGCTACAGTGCTGAAGGGGGACCTGACATGTGAAAATGTGCTTGGGCTGTTCGAAAGTGGGATGGAATATGCTCACGGGGATTTTATCCAGTCCACACTTAAATTCATTTGCACGTAAGACCCTGAATAATTTATTCCAATTTGTTATAGATTTTCAACTTTTTGTTTTTATTTATTATCGTGTGTTTTTAGGAGGAAGATTTGAATTTAAATAATATTTCTGCTTGGATTCTTAAAACAATTTATAGCTTCCTTTTCCACTAACTGATTACCCAATTTAACTCAGAATAATTATAGGAATGCGCGGCAAATTTTGAAACGTGATGAATTTGCTAAATTGCGACTGGAGTGCCTGATTGAAATTATTCAGCAGGATTCACTGATTGTTATGAATGAGATGGAAGTTTTTGAGGCTGTCAATAGGTATAAGTTTGTATAGCTATGTAATATCTTGATAATGACATTTTAAAATTAAAATGTGTCATAAATATACAGGTGGGGCCTAGCCGAATGTGCACGACTATCATTGGATCCTGATAACACTGAAAATTTAGGCAAATGTTTGGCGAAACCATTGAATTACATTCGATTCCCGTTAATGAATCCGGAAGAATTTGCTTTGAATGTGACGTCAAAGAAACTTCTCAACACGGACGAGTCGATGGAACTGCTGACCTGTTTCCTTGTTTCGCCGGAGCGGAGGTAAACAGAAAAATTAAACACTTTGCATCTCAGAATTTCCATATAAGTACGTTTGAATAATGTTCTTTGATTTATAGAAAAATGCTTCCACAAGGACGATTTGTCTCGCGTCCGCGCACCTACGTTTGTAAGCGTGTCTCTCTCAAAAGAAGCATTACAGGTGGTCATAGAATTCATATCACTGGTGGAAATGCTGGCGAAGCAATCATGTAAGAAAATATTACTGTATATAAAAATTGTGTTTGTCTTTTTAGCCCGAGCCAGGGCTTATGTATTTATCATGTCTGTCTGTCACCACGATAACTCTCTTTAAACTTATCCGATTGACTTCAAATTTGGCAGACACGTAGATAAGGTCAATAGTCAGGCTAAGTTCGTAGATGAGCAAAATCGGTCAAGTCGTTGACCGGTGGGGGTCATATGGGTGGTGGCGGTATAATGCACCAAATTTACAAAATTGTCGTATAATATTGAAATTTGGCACAGAGGTTTGTAATGCCTTCTAATGAAAGAATACGAACGAAAATTTGGGAAATTTTTATCCGGAGGCACCATATGGGGTGCCCCCACCGATTTTAAAATATTGTCCTAGACGATGTTGAATAGTTTTCCACTGTAATTTTTGTGAATAAGTTTTTGTGAAAATAAAGCTGCAATTTAAAACTGAAAATCTATTGAACTGGCTCGGGCTATATCAAGTCTGCACTGTAGGTTTTAATAATTTACTAACATTAAATATTTTCAGGGTTCGTGTTACAGCAAATTCTGTACTGAAGTCTATTTCAATATTCAAGGACAACTTTGACGTTTATGGTGCCAACTATGTTTACTATTATGACCAGATTCTGGCTACTATTACAATGTCTCACGGAATTCTAAATGAGCAAAAATTTACCGGACAAGCACGCATTAGGCAGGACAATGAATACTTTCGAATTGATGTAGACCCCCCTGTCCAGCTTAATGTGGATGATGGTTGGGTTAAGATCACGATTTCATTTTCCGGGCAAATCAGATATCACTTTATTAACCACCCCTCGTATAGCAACGCAAATGCGACAATTATTAACTTAAGTTGCATGATGGTAGGAAATTATGAAGATTTGTTTTCGTCAAGTGTGGTAGACAGTATGGGTATTGTGGATATTAAGAGACCTGAGGGGGATAACCTTTCAGTAAAGTCTGGCTTGATTGAAAATTTGGAATTTGAACTAGCTTAATCCATTCGGTATAGCGTTTTTTAGATTATGTTGGGTGTGTTGTAGAATTAAGATAGAAGTAAATATTTTTAAACTAGGATTTTTTTGGTGCCCGTGACACCAGGGCAGTTTTTAATATGAAATTTAATACGATAAATCAAATAATTTAAAACAAATTTATCAATTTGTGTGTAAACAACGAAACCGAAAACTTTATTATCAAGACAAATTTTAAGGAGCAAGATTCATATACATACTTATTTTTTTAAGAATACAAACACAGCAGGCATTATCGACATTATGGACGACGTCAACGTCGCAGGCCACATGCAACCATACTGAACTCAGTTACTGAGTTCAGTAATGCATTGTGAGATTGGCTGATAATAATATATTGAAGGGATGCATTACAGAAGGACAAACAGACAGACAGGCATTATTGGGTAAATATATAAGTTAATGAATTATTTATTAAACATTTTAAATATTTATTAAATACAGTATATACTTATACATTTATTAAATATTTATAAATATTTAAATATATAATCTTGCACGTTAATTATAAAAAAGATCCAAATGGTCTTTATGGATACTATTAAGTGTATTTTTACAGATATAGTTAACATAATATACAAAGGAATAACTATGAATTTATAAGTATTTACATATCTAGTGTTGAGTTTAAGAGAAATATTTATACTAAAATTGTAATAAAAAAGGGTACTTTAATTGCTATGGTAGGTGGGCCACGGGCCATTGATTTCCTATTAAATTTCTGGGCCACGCTAAAATGCAGGACTTTCAATAGTTTCGAATTTTAATCCATGGAGATTTTTTGCGTTTAAAAAAAGTCATCACTTATGGCATGGGAATTAAAATTAGAGACAATTTTTACGCCCCTCTCCGTAAGAATATTAGCGCAGGGGCGTAAAAATTCTCTATAACTTAAATGCCCATACCATAATATATTTATGTGTCGAGTAATTCTGGACAAACTTTCAATTTCGTATACACATATTTCTGCAAGTTATATATGTATCTTACGTATGTATGAATGAAATGCATAGAGCGAGCCAGGCGAGATACATAAACTATCTCGATCAGAGTTTCGCAATTCTCACTTATTGAGTATATTTCCCATCAGACTGGGAAATTGGAAACAAATGGAAAGTTGGGATTGCTGTTTCGGGAATACTTGGAACAACTTTTTTGAAAGCTGATATTTAGAAAACCTATCTCATAAATTTATCTTACTCTTCATGAGATTCTGAGAAATATATGGGTAACACGATTCAAATCCATTACTCTTTAAAATTATCTATGTATGTATTAATATGCAAGCCTCCACTATGGAAATGGTGAGCCCCAGCGGTATACCTAAGCAAATAACGCAGGAGTATATGGTCTATTAATTGCAAACTATCATTCCAACACTAGGCACTATGTAAAAATGTTTTATCGTCTTAACCTATTTTAGAATACGTTATGTCCAGGATGAGTACATAGATATAAGGGTTTGTTGAAACAAATGCAACTAATACATCCTTTGTGCAATCACTTATTTAATAAGTATCAAAAATTGTTAAACCATAAAAGTGTTTGTAAGTACAATTCAGTAATTTTGTCCCATCTATTGTAGTTGAACAATGTATCCCAGTAAGTAATGCTTAACCAATTTACTGAATTTAACAAAAGATAGCTCCCGGTCCCGGAAGACACTAATTGGCATACACAATAAAGTTTTCTAAACTGTTGCGTTATTATTCGCTATTAAAGTATTTTTATTACTGTACAGCATACTATGTAGCAGATTCTGTCTGAATTATAGTGTTTTGTCAACATATTTATGTAGTACCCGGTTATTGGATTATTAATTTCTCAAGTATAGAACTGTATTCGTAGTACACGGTTATATATGCAAAATTTATCCCGTTTTCATAATGCTTGATACACGTATTCCGTTATAATGCAATGGCTTCTCGGTTCTACTGCAATACAACATAAGGTTTTGCAATATTTTGAGTGCCAATTAGATAGAATTATGTATCACTTATCTTACAATTATTCCTAAGCCCAAAAAATTATATTTGGGTTTGGCAGCATTCTGAGTGCAAATTAAATACAGAGGTAAATTGCGAAATTATAACTATAAGTTATTCCTTAGACCAAAAAATTCTATAGTTTTCGATTTACATAAACTGGATTACTTGAATAAATTTCTACACAAATACTTATGCAAATGAAAGAAACGAGTAATAGATTGAGACGACGGTTTGTGCAACGCAAGTCCATATTACAAAACAATTTGATAAATTTGATTTCACAGCGTTCACTTACTTCAAAATATTGAAGATTTTACTTGCTTCGAACAATCTATTGGTTCTTATTCCAGTATTTCAAAAAGGTATTCCCCGCAATGGAAATAAAACCAAAACGAAGCTTTTATAAATACTTTTCTATAGAGTAAGTATAAGGGAACATAAGACATTGTTTGTGAATCTGACAAAGTGTACCCGTCCCGCCCGGACTCAATGCACCCGATGAAGGAAAATATAACGATTTCAAATTTTATCCGGTTATTATGTGGTCCTAAATAGAAATGGGGTCGCCAGTTTTTGCAAATTCGATAAAATTCTATGAAGGATTTAAAAAAAAGATAGGATAGTGTAATGCAGGAAACATTCGTGTAATTTAATTACACAATTATCACTAATTTTCATCTCAGTCTATGGTCTTGGGACCAATGAGAATTCATTTATTTAAATTCCAGAATTTTTTTTAAAGGAGAACCATTAAGTTCTACCCTAATTGCAGCTTACATAAATATGTACAAGTTCTAGGTAAGAGACACCTTCCAAAAAGGCCAAGGGAAATTTTTTAATTTACGACTTTACATGTTTAACTACTTATTATTCGTATAATATAAAAAATCTTCTGATCTTCGACACAAAATTTATGAAACAATTTGAGACTGCAGCATTATTTAATTAGGGAACCTTGGAAGTTTATACTTTGGCAAAAATTAAAATATATAATACAGCGGTAAAACATAGGGGTTGTTTAAACATTGACATTCAATTTTTTTAATATATGCATTTTCAAGGGTCGCTAGGTATTAAGGTTATCTAAATACATAAGTGTCTATAGACACTTATTTGAATGTCATATATATGACTTTCAAACCTTGGTATTTCATAAGACTTATCTGTCGGGGTGCGCTCACTCTGATGGGACAGGTGCACTGTGTCCCAGTTTATATTGTAACTATTTTAAAGTTAAGTAACTATTTTTTTCTGTAGAATGTTTACCTCCATGATGCCTCATGTATTTACTCGGTTGGTCTTGCTGTCGGAAATATTGTACCCGGTTTGTATTTGTTTGAAAGATATTCGTAATAATGATGGTGCAATACCCAAAAAAATTGTACACAATGTTGAAAATTGTGACCTACAAATACTCCACGACGTCGATTTGTCCTCGCATTACTTTTCGTTCTTGCAAGATCTATTTCTCCCGAGAACCATAATATTTATGCCACCGTTTGAGAAAATACTGGTCAGTTTTATAAGTATTAGAGACTTGCCATTCACCATTGACGTTATGGTGACTCGGCCTGCGGGAAATAAGATAAGCATTTGGTTAAGCAAGCGTCTACTTACTAAAAATATACAAAGTTTTGAATCACCCAAGTTTACAGCTTGGTTGATGATATCTACTACATATCACTACATTAGTAAATTGACAGGGCATTTGAAATTTATATCCTCGATAAAAAATACTTACCCAATAATTATCACTAAATTGGGTTTGGAGGAAGCAGCAACTTTTTTAGAAATCTATTTATTGTCATGAAAATTTATTTATACTCCTCATCTCAAGACCAAGTGTAAAAATCTGTGTAAAGAGGCTAGGGTTGTCACCTCATATTAAAGAGAACTATGATTGTAAATTAGCAGACGACGGTAAAATATTGGCAGGTTATGAGAGGCTTACGCCACTTCAAGAAATTTGGACGGGATCTTATAAACCTTCAAACGTAAAGGAACCTGATCTTGTCACAATCAGAAATTTGCCTCATCCTTCGCTAAATCCGTTTGATGGTAAGACCTATATGTCCATGCCGCTGTACATGGCAGCAATTTTAGTGGAAGCTGGGAGAAATGCGACGCTCGTTTTAAGTCGATATTGGGATAATGGTCCACGTGTGATTGCCAACCTGGAGGTAGAAACCAACTTATATCTTCTCAACTACGAAGGAATGCTTTCGGAATACACATATTCTACCGGATACCAATTTCTGAGTTGTTATGCTGATTCCTATATAACTTTTGATTTTTACGTGACACCATTCCAGCCAGCAGTATGGCTTGTTTTGGTATCCAGTCTGCTTTTGACCTTTATGGTTCTATCCTTCTACATGTTTTGGAAGAATAACCGATCTGCGATTTCATTATTATTTTCGGTCCAATCTTTATTTTTCGATGACTTCACATCTGTTCCGAAATCTATTGCAAATACGCTGTTCTATCGTATCTTGTTCAGCGTTTTGGGATTAGTTGCTGTTGTGTTAACGAATTGTTATATTGGAATAATGATAACAGAACTTAACGCACCGTTGAAACAATCACGGCCGGCAACGTTCCAAGACCTAATATGTCAAGGTGGACATATTCTCAATAGTAAAGACTCTCAAGATATTGAAAGATGGGCAAACGATGGAAATCTAGATAGATATTTCGGGTACTGGGGAAAGCTGAATTTGTTGTTACCAAATGTTTCAAATGTTTTTGCGTCGGATACTTGTTTTAGAATGCTTTCAACCCCGATTCAAACTGCATTTGGGACAACGTACGCATTTTATTTTCATTTGGTTTTCAAATACTCCTTTGATATCGATAAACTATTAAAGGAATTTATGTTCAAAAAGGAAAATCCTACAGAAATTAGCAAAGCCAATATATTCTACCTCCTCCTTTTAAATCCAGTCCATAACTTTCTTCCCAGCGGTATCAATTTCACAACAAGAACGCACACCACTACAGAATTACAAGACTTGGTGGAGTAAGATATTACAGGTTGTCAGAAAAAAACTGTCCTAGTAGGTATGCTGGAACTGATTGAGGGAGAGATGGATTTTCTTACTAAAAGTTGCCCTTCAAAGAAATTTTATTCTGGAACCAACCTCCTGGAAGAGAAACGGTCTGGATGGAACTTTATTGGTGGAGGTAGGAGTCCAATGTCTAGAAGTATATCTCCCGTTCATCAAAGATTTCAAGCTCTGGTTCATTCCGGAATTTATTCAAGATTGAAGAGTGAAATGGCAAGAAATATGTGGAAATGGAGAAGACCGGTGGCAAATGATGCATTATTTCCTACATTATTTCATCGATGGGTATGAATGGAAGACTTGTGACAGTTTTTATTGTCTGCAGTGCTCTGTTTTCTGTAGCTTTGACAGTCTTTATGGCCGAACTTTTTAATTACACTTGGAAGTTTTTGTATTTAAATGTCCATGAGAGGTTCTATTCGTGCCGTTGAAAACTGTAATTTCATCCACATTTTAAAAATAACAATTGCACAGTGAGTAATAAAATGAAAATGTGAATAATAAAATAGACATAAACTAAATTAAAATTCAATAGTTCCTCCTGACAGTTTTGTTATCTTTTCCCAAATTATATTATAATTAATGCATAAACAAAACTTTTAATCAAATTATTTCAATGAATATAAAGTAAATTATATGCTTATCTCTAGCACGGTATGATTACTAATCCAAATTTATTACAAATAGATGTTGTAAACGGACTCATTTATATTCATGACATAATGCCCCCCATGCATGTGTTAACAAAAAAATTATGTATAAATATAATTCCAGTGTAGCATGATATTCATGCAACATAACGGCGAGATGAAGAAACAAATGCAGCTATCGGAGCAACCTTGTGGCAATTCGTAGTAATATTTCCAATGCAGGAGAGACCACGTTCATAAAGAGGAATGCTCCATGGCTTATCACTGGTTATCTGCGTATTTGTATGCTGATTAGATAAAGGATGTCCTGTTATGCCCATATTTAACTCATTGGAAAATTGTGAGCAGTGAAATAATATTTAACGATAATAAATTCCTAAATTTAATTGGGGAGAATTTACGTTAGTGTTACGATTTATTACTAGTAAGAAGAGTTATTTCTGACATTTGTATTCCGTTAAATAATCTGCCATTTCTCTCGTTAGAATAGCTTAAAGGATTGATAAGCTCATAATGTCTGGGAACCGTCCGTCTTCTAAAAAACCCAATGGAAATAATACTTCTCAAGGGATGATGCAACCAACATGGGAATTTACAAGAACTCATGATGATCGGATATTAAGTTTACTTGAGACTGGGTTTCAAAGTGATTTGACCCTACAACTTGGATCGGAAGGGACAAAGGTTTGTTTTATTTATAATGAAGTAATTAGAAACTAGCAATCAACATATATATTGGAAAATATTTAGGTTCCTGTACACAGAATATTTCTCCAGGCCGGTTCCCCAGTGTTGAATGGAAAGATCAAAACTTCGATGGAGGAATTAGTCATTGATAATGTGGACAGTCGCATCTTCAAGATAATGCTAAAAGTAGAAAAAAGATGCAAAAAATGATAAAGATTTGTTCTATTTTTGTTTTTTGAATGTAGTATTTGTACACTGGCAAGTCTAGCGTCAAAATGGGCGATGCTCTGCAATTAATGCAACTTGCGACGGAATATGAGATCAACGGGTTAAGGGACGATTGCGCTACTGTGCTTAAGGGAGACTTGACTTGCAAAAATGTGCTTGGGCTGTTCCAAAGTGGGATGGAATATGCTCACGGGGAATTTATCCAGTCAACTCTGAAATTCATATGCACGTAAGACATAAATTATGTTTTTACATTTGTTCATGATTCTTAAGTGTATACTTACTTATAAAGGGACTTAGTTTAAATTTTTATGTGGAATATTTAAGGTAACCATATTTGCGATGTTTTTTTATAAAATGTGTGGATGTTTCCTGCATCAATTATCAAGTTGAGCTTGGGAGGTTAAATCGTCATGTGATTATTAAGATAGACTAATACAATCAAAAGGTGTTTTTTCGCCCTCCAACGATTTCGATGTATGATACCTCAAAATTTACGGAATTTTGTGTAGATTAAGAATCAGTAATAATACACAATGGTTAGGCGTTATGATTTACTAAAGGTTATCTGATTTATCCCTGAAGTATTTTCCGTCGGTGAATTTTACTGATCGACTCAATATGTAGGCCATTAACTATTCTAAGCAGGCCAAGTCGTTTTTTCCACTCCGTCATCTCTTTTCTATATTTACAGGCATTGTTAGGTTAGGTTAGGTATTGGTATTGGGGGCGAGGTTAGCCAGTTTTTACGCCAGAAACCAAAGTATGCGAATTTATTGCGAATTTTGAAATATTTCGATATTGGCCAAAATTCGTCATAATTTGTTCAAACATCAGCGGAAATTACTAGAATAGTTAGTTTGACCTCGGTTCTGTTGAGTGGTGCTAATTTGGCGATCAGATTTTTTAAATAGTCGAGTGTGGGAAAATAATTCCAAATCTGCCATTATTTTTACTTGGTCCAGGCTTATACAATCTTAATCAGATTTTTTTCTGCTCCAACGGTTTTAATGAATCATACCTTAAAATTTCCGTAAAATTATATAGATTCAGAATCCAAAATAACATAGGGGCGGGCGGTCAGGGGAAGCCGCAATAGACTGTAATATGCGAATTATTGCGAATTTTGAGATATTAGGTTATTGGCCAAAACTCGTGCTCAATAGTGCTCAAGAGTGTTTAAAAAAATTATTTTGACCTCAATTTGGTCCCCAAGTAATATTTTAATAATCAGTTTTTCAAATATACGACTTTTGGAAACTATTGGCAAATTCGCCATTTTCGTTCTTAGTAGTCCACGATGGTAATACCGAACGTTTTGGGGCATTTTTAGCATTAACATGATTTTTTTAAGTTGAGTTTTATCCCTTACGGTTTTTAAATGTTGATCAGTGATAGCATACATATACGTATGCAATCGCGTCCGTATATGTATATCCGGACACTATAAACGACTTTTGTTAGTCTCGACTTCATTACTTTCTGCTCAATAAAATCTTAAAATCAAGTTATTTTACATATGTAGTGATTGACCACATATCGCGTAACCAGTGTTTCCTTTTGGACGTCCAAAACACATTTGGACATTTTGTTTATTTTGGACACCTCAGGATTGGTGTCCAAAACCACTTTTGGACACTATCCAAAAGTGTCCAGGGTGGTTTCAACCAAGCGAAACCCTGCGCGTAACTAAATTCGAAAATATACGGACACATCCACCTTGTCTAAATCACCATTTGTTATTATTCTTTTATTTAAAGCAATGCGCAAAAAATTTTGAAACGTGATGAATTCCCTAACCTTCGGCTGGAGTGTTTGATCGAAATAATTCAGCAGGATTCCCTCCGGATTACCAGCGAAATGGAGGTGTTTCAAGCTGTGAATCGGTAAATGTTTCTCTAGTTCGCTAAATAGTATTGTAATAATTAATTGTTTTTTTCATCCTAAATTATATTAAATATATATCAAGCTGGGGCCTGGCTGAATGTACGCGACAAGCTCTGGACCCAGAAAACTCGGAAAATTTACGCAAATGAATGGCGAAGCCATTGAATTACATTCGCTTCCCGTTAATGGGCCCGGAGGAATTTGCCTTGAACGTAACGTCAAAGAAACTCCTCAATACTGACGAATCGATGGAACTTTTGACTTGTTTCCTCGTTTCGCCAGAGAGGAGGTATTAAAAAATAAACACTTTTCAACTCTGTATCGCCACCTAGAAAAAAACTGAACCATTGATATACCTGAATAACGTTCTTATATTTCTAGAAATATGCTTCCACAAGGAAGATTTATATCACGTCCACGCACATACATATGCAAGGATGTCTGCCTTAAAAGGAGTGTAGCAGGTGGTTAGATTAGCTAACTGGCATCACATAATTTTTAAATGTAATTAAAAGTATTTGCATATTTAAATACAGTATTTTGTATACAGTATAAATATATTTAAGCAGCAAGAACTCTGTAAATCATATTGGATTATATTTTTTTCAAGACTAATATGCAATGAGCGACTTCTTTGTGCAAGTATATACAAGTATACTCATAGATACTGACCTAATTAAAATGCCGAGCATGGAAATATAAAATAATTGTCATTTATTTACTGCGGCTCCTTATTCGCCCGGCCCCTTCTTCACCAGGCTCTTTCTTCGCCAGGCCCTTTCTTCGTCAGGCCCTTTCTTCGTCAGGCCCCTTCTTCGTCCGGCTCCTTTTTCGCCCGGCTCTTTCTTCGCCAGGCTCCTTTGACCACGCTCCTTCATCCCCGGCTCCTTTTTCGCCGGCTCCTTTATCGGATACCCGGGAAAAAGTAGGCTATTTAACAATTTGTTGCATTTTGATCGTATTTTTCCCAACCATGGAATGTAGAACGGCTCAATGGAGACTGACTCAACATGGTGGTGATTGAGGTTTTCCACCTCGTCACACCCTCCTTGAGTGAGTCATTCAAGAGCTTCCGTTTTGTCAATGTGCTTGAAATTCTGGACGTCAAGTGTAGGACAAGTTGGACTGGCTTCGAAAATAATGATGTTCCCGGAAAGTTGACTTGTTTCTCTGGAATTTGGAAATTGAAATTTTGGGGGCATGACCTTTCATCTTGTATATATGAAGTTTTGTGTATTTTGAATACTTTGTTAACATTTTATCTACGTTTTTCCATTTTCACATAATTTGTAATCATCTTTGGTATTTCTGTAAACGGAATATCGAAGCTATGTATGAATTGTTTGAAATCTACAACTTTTGGAAAGAAAATTAATAAATCCGTACCAGTGTGCATTACCATGATGGAAATTCCATCCTTCAAGGATGACAACCGTAGTAGTAGTATATGATTTAATAATTTCTAACCATCATCCTAACACTTGGAACCATGTAAAAATATTTTGTCGTCTTAACATATTTAAGGAGACTTTATATCCAGTATGAGTACGCTTTTTAGGAAGGGGCTTGAGGGAACAAATACAGACGCATTTTATCACCCACGGACGAAAAAATGCATAATTCTAATAGGATCGACGTGCGATCCGGAAAATTATTTAAGTCGAGGTTGTATCCCTGGAACTTGTTCCCGACAAACATGTACATGTGAATATGGGCAGGTTGCATCGTACGATGGAATGTCCTGCTCCAAGGCACTCGAAAAGAAATGCGCCGCACACGAAGAAGGATGTGGGGACAGGCAGACCTTGATGAAATGCGTAGAAGGGAAATGTTACTGCCCGAACCCGCTAGAGAACTACTTCGATAAGGAATATCTGAAAGATAAACCTAATCATAAGATTAGACGATTTTTGTGAGTTCCAAATCTTGAAAATGGGTCCACAATTGGACCCCAAAGTGCTTCATGCCGCAAAGGCACTTTGCGCGGATGGATTCCCCCATAAAAAAATATAACGGCAACTAAAAACTGAAGGAATTACCATTTGTGAGAGGACAGTGTTTAGAATAAAGAATTCTGATTCTGATTCCAAATGAATGACCCTTCAAATCGTTGATTGGATCACCCCCAACATTTTACCATACCCCGTTGCGAAATTGGATTTTCCTTCTTGGCGAATTTTGCCACCTTTCAGATCAACCTCTTGGTTCTAGCGGATCGTGGTTTCCGTATCGGTGGGGGTGGAGCCCCAGTGGATGCTGCAATTCTGTTAATTCCAACGTTATTTAATACGTTATGAACGTAGGTTTGACTGACAGTGAATCAATTTGTCGCCAGTTTCTTGACTATCGCTCTCTGGGACAATCTTTCTTTGGAAAACGCTTTTACGAGTACCCCACATTCGGAGGAAGAATGGAAGAATGGAAGACTTGTTACAATGTTTATGATTTGTGGTGTTCTGTTTTCTGTAGCTTTGATAGTCTTTATTATCGAAGTTAGTAATCGTGTTTGGAAGTTTGTGTATTTAAATGTTTATCTAACGTTGTCTTCATGCCGTGGAAAACTGTAATTCTATCCACATTTCTCAGCAAAAATTAGAAAAGAAAAGTAAATAAATAATAATTTAAAAAAAGGTGTCTCATGGTTTTTTGATGCACGTAACATACATCAGAAATGTTGAAAAATCGAATGGTCATGATGCATCAGGACCATTATCGTCCCATAAGTAAGACCACACCATCCCCCATCCAAACATCTTAAGTTATGTATTGAACGATATTTACACACTAAGTAGATGGTGTGGCGTGTACGCCACACCATCTTACAAATTACTGATATTTGTTAGGTGCGGAAAAATCCAACATATTTATGATTTGGTGCCACTTGTGTGATTTGGATTTTTTTAGAAGTGGGATAAAAATATTTCAAATAAATAGTTAATTGTGGAATTAATTTAATTAAATTAATTTTTAGAAAGATCTAAATGCAGTCTTTGGTTAATTTACTTAACGAAAGACTCTATTAAAGGTTTCAATCATCCCTGGATACATAGAATATTTGTATTTATTTTATCCTTCGTACGGGTGTTCCAGGCTAATAAAAAAACTATTGTACAAGTCAGTGAATGGTGCACCGAAAATATGAATAATTAAATAGACATACACTATGGTAGGATTTTTTAAATTAGAGCCAATTTTGCCATATTCCTAAATCATTAAGTGGCCGACCTTGCAATGCCTAATAACATTGAAAATTGAAATGTAAATTACTTTTTTTCTTTTCCATCCGACTTTCGAAATTCAAACTGTTTTATATACCCCCGACACTTAGGCAAATTTCTTACTTTCAGATTTTGAAATTTCGACCACACCCGCTTATTATCAAGGCCAGAAAAATAACTATTTTTCTCAACAAATTGAAAAGATTTTTTTACGGATGCCAAAAATATAAACACGTCCACTAAAATGAGAATCCCCGTCGCAGATAGGCATACCCTTCCTAGTACCTGGATTTATGAGGGAAAATTGTATTACTACCTTTTACCTACCTTTTATTATTTTATTAGTAACTTTTATTACCGCACCTTTTATTAGCTATACTCTTAAGGGTCACAATGTTATAAGAACAAAGTAGAATGTCAAATAACAAAAGTATTTTTACCCTACCCTTGAGGATGGTCCTTTCTGAAATGGTATCTAGATACGTATTTCATTCCTTTTTCCTGGGTCACTCTTCCCAACGTCCTTCCCACGATCGGAACCTCATTAATATTTCGCACAAATTTTTGGTTTATTGAACAAAATATCAATTTGTTAGTAAAATTGTAAATAATTCTGGAAAATAATTCGAATTTCGGAAAGATTTAAAGTATTTTTTAATTTAACATCAAATTTTTAAAATAATGGAGAATCGCTTTGAATGTCAACAATGCTCAAGGGTTTTTAAATTGAAACTCTACCTTAACCGACATCGTATCACACATGATCCCGAAGCTGAAGTAAAATGTAAGGTGAGTTATCTCAGAGAATTTGGTGCACAGTATTAATTCTTACTTTTTAATTATTTTAAGATTTGCGTGCAACTATACAAAAATCCTAAAAGCCTGGAAACTCACTTGGCAAATTTTCACAGCAATAGAGCCCGAAGTTATTGCAATATTTGTAACAAGACATTCGCAACAGAAAGAAGCTTGCAAGGACACCGCATAACGGCCCACACCGCAACGCCTAGACCTCGCCTACCATGCAGTTTTCCATGGTGTGGCAAATCTTACCTCAACAAATTTGCCGTTGCTTCGCACATTAGAATGGAGCATAGTCAGAATCCCACTGTATTTCGGTGCACACTTTGCAGCAAAGAATTCAAATGCAGGAAAAACCTTAGCATACACATCGCCATCCATACAACGGAGAAACCCTACAAGTGCATCAAGTGCGGGAAGGGTTTCGCACAAGAAGGCAATTTTAAAATACATCAGGTAAACTTGAAAGGATCTTTTGTTCGAATATTTTACAATATGAACAGTTACAATATATTAATAATATTAACAATAATATACTTACAAATGAACACGTGGAAGCTTAAAGTTCCCAAAAGAATATGAGATAGTCTCAAAAAATTGATAAAAAATTAAGGTTTTATAGGATTATTTGAAAGATGTAATTTTGTCCATTAATTTTCAAAAAATGCACAGAGTAGAAATAATGGTTAATAAGAATCAATTGGTAAAACGAGAAATTTGTTTCATTTGCAGACTAGTTTTCAGTGTACGCTGTATTTCGCCGTATTAAGCTTTATGCCATTTTGACGGATAACAGTGTCATATATTTTAAATAACATTAGACCCGAAGGAAAAATGGCAACGCAATGGTAGTTTTGGGCAAAACGGCATGCAATTTTACAGAGTAGTAGATTACTAGTTTTCTTTTACTAATTTTTGAATTTTCGAAATTGCTGAACGTATCATGAAGGCTAATGTTAATGCTGACTAAGAAAGTCAAAAACCAAATAAGTTATATTAGTTGCAAATGATTATTGGAGGATTTTCAGTTTTAAAAAAGTCTTTGAGGCATCACATTCTTCTTTTGCAGAATATACATATGGAGAAATCTCAACGGGCAATGGTTATGTGCCATCTCCATAACCAGAATTTTCTACATAAACAAAACCTAAATTACCACATCAATACTGTTCACCGAAAAGTGAAGAATTTTGCTTGCAAAATATGTGACAAGAGATTTTCAAGCGGGTATAGTTTGAAGGAACACATGCATGCGAAACACTCAACCAGTGATAACCCCCTTCACTCCTGTGACAAATGCGGGCACAAGACCCATTATAGATCCAATTTTGTAAAACATATAGAAATGCACAATATTGGTGAAAAATGGCAGTCGTGTTATTTCTGTCTGAAGAAGTTCTACCGTTTTTCCAGGTTGGTGGCACATATCAGGATGCCCACGCTAGAAATATGATTCCAACATATAATAAGTACTTACATAGAGAGACAATTTTGTATGAAATACTTTTCTGGATCATAATTTATGATTCATAAAGATGAATATTTCTAGTACTTCTAGTTAAATAATATTAATAACTAGGTAATTTTTTGGTGCCCGTGCATTTGGCACCAAATGCACCCGTCACTTACGATATGACCACTCCCGCTTCATAAAATATATAATTTTAAACCCCCTATCTTTGATAAAAATTTCCTTCA